ACTTTTTGGGATAAGCACTGGGTGTTGTATGGAAACCAATTTGACAATAAACTTCGTATATTGAAAAAACAAAACGGGGGCGCCTGGGTGGCGCAGTCGGTTGGGCGTCCGACTTCAACCAGGTCACGATCTCGCGGTCCGTGACTTCGAGCCCCGCGTCAGGCTCTGGGCTGATGGCTCAGAGCCTGGAGCCTGTTTCCGATTCTGTGTCTCCCTCTCTCTCTGCCCCTCGCCCGTTCATGCTCTGTCTCTCTCTGTCCCAAAAATAAATAAACGTTGAAAAAAAAATTTTTTTTAAAAAAAGAAAAAACAAAACAAAACAAAAAACTGTCAGCACAGAGCCCGACGTGGGACTCAAATCCACGGACCGTGAGATCATGACCTGAGCCGAAGTCGGATGCTTAACCGACTGAGCCACCCAAGTGCCCCTAAGATTTTTATTTTTAAATATTCTCTGCACCAGACATGGGTCTCTAACTTACAACCCTAAGATCGAGTCACATGCTGTGCCCACTGAGTTGGCCAGGTGCCCCTTTTGCAGCTGTGATGGGACTGAGATAGTCACAGTTGGTGGGATGTTGGGAATTTCTCTGATGCTTTTTTTTTTTTTTTTAAGTTTATCTGTTATTTTTGAGAGAGAAAGCAGCGGAGGGGCAAAGAGAGAGGGAGACAATCCCAAGCAGGGTCTGTGCTGTCAGCACAGAGTCCAGTGTGGGGCTTGAACTCTTGGAACTGTGGGATCATGACCTGAGCCGAAATCAAGAGTTGGACGCTTAGCCAACTAACCCCCCCAGGTGCCCCTGCTCTGATGCTTTTTAAGCCAGCTTAGTTTCTGAATGATTGGAGATAACTGATAATATGATGAAATGTATTTTCTGGTTACCCAGATGGTTCCTTTTGTATTGTACTGAAACAGCTTTTCTAAATTTCTTCCTTTCAGCTTGAAGGTTTGTTTATACTGTTCACCTGTTACTAAAGAGTTGTTGTTAACTAACCCGAGGTACAGATTTTGGGAGAAACGAATTGTAAGTTTCATTTTTCAAATGGCACTAATTCCTTTTCTCAAGTGGGAAATATTTTTCAAGGTAGATTGAACAACATGTTGGGATTATTCACAGCGCAGTTCCTCCTACACTACATTTATCCGCATTTATTACAATATTGATGTTTAGTCTTAGTAATTCATCAGTTTAGAAGAGGTCGACATTTTATTGTTGCAGATTTGTTTTTCTTATCTCTGAACGGTTTGATCTGGGGTCTTAGTTTTATTTGTTTAGTCTCATTAACTCTTGCTAAGTTGTATTTTATTTATTTATTAAAAAAATTTTTTAATGTTTATTTATTCTTGAGAGAGAGAGAGACAGAGTGCGAGTGGGGTAAGATCAGAGAGAGAAGGAGACACAGAATCCGAAGCAGGTTCCAGGCTGTCAGCATAGAGCCTGACGCAGGGCTGGAACTCACAAGACAGTAGATCATGATGTGAGTTGAAGTCAGACGCCTAACCGACTGAACCAACCAGGTGCCCCTTGCTGAGTTGTATTTTAATACTTCAAAGTATAAAATGTTTACTGACGCAATTGATAAATCCTTTTATGTAGGTCATGGCATCGTTTAGGAAAAATGAACATAGTTTGTGAGTTATCATAAGGAACGATGACTGGAGTGAAAATAGGACGGGCAACTTTGAATCTGACAGGGTAAATCGGATCTGTCCAATGGAAGGTCGATAGTAAAGGGGGAAGCAAAACAATGGTATGTGGAAAATGTGAAGATGACAGGAAAAGTTCTGTTATAACAGTAATTACTGTAAATATGTCTTCAATTCTTGCTCAAAATACAGTTTTCTCAGTTTGGTTTAACAAAAATAAGCAAGATCCATCAGTGTTAGTCTACAAGAGACTTAGATAAACCAAAAAGATAAATGCAGGTTGAAATGGAAAAAAAGAAAAGAAAAGATGTGCTAAACAATTAGAAAGTAAAAATGCCAGGGTGGCAATTTGTCTATCATACCAAATAGAATCGAAGGCAAAAAAAGACCTTAAGTTTCAAGGGGGATGTTATTTGCTGTCATAAGGAACAATGGACCAGGAAGACGTGAGCTTACATGCAATTGACAAAATAGCCTCAAAGTGGATAAAGTCATAACTGATCACCCGGGGCTCGATCTGAGAGAGAGAACCGCAGAGGGGGAGTGCAGCCAGGGTTCACTGTATGAATTAAGCCTTAAATAATTGTGGGAGCTCGCAGAGAAGTTTGAACAGATGTCAGCGAGTCTGTTTGATGTTTGTCTGTTGACAGCTCTCAACTCTCACATCCTCTTTCCACGTCTGCCCCACGCAGGCTGATGAAAGCCTGCCCCTCCCTCCACGCTGACCTGAAGTTGAAACCACGTGAGCCCCGGCACACCCGCTAACCCCAGTAAAAGCAGGGCCACTCACTCCTATCCCCGCTCAGCCTCAAGAGCCACTTCCTCCCAGCTGGGGCACTGCCCTCCTCTCCCCAGAAAGTGTGTTCACACACTCTTGGTGCAGGCGTGGCATCTTCAGCCTCCACCTCTGACGGTAGCTAGGGTGGGGTCCGTCCCCACTCCGTAGGGGGACACAACAGCAAGGCTGTAACCTTGGCCTGAGTATTAAGCCTGGGGTTGTTGTCGTTCACCCCTGCCGGCTGTGGGGAAGGGGAGCTGAGCAAGCAATGAAGAGCGGAGAGACGCTGGAACCTACAAAGACAAACTGGAACCCCCGTCTGTCTTCCACTCCTCCCAGCCCTGTAGTGTAGCCGCCCCTATTGCCACCGAGTTGCACACTCCTGACCTGTGCCCCCCAAGAAGCGGAGGATATGCAGCCGAAGGCGGGGGTTGCCGGGGTCCTGCCCTGCGTCTGCGGGTTGAGCCGTCAGATCCTCAGCGTGCATGAGCTGAGTAGAACTTCTGGCAGCTTCAGAGCACGAAGAAATGGTTGCTGCTTCTCTTTGGCCTTCCAGATCTCACGCGGAAGTTTCTTGGGGTCAGCCCCAAGCTGGAGGCGCACATGGAAGGGACTTCTAGGACAGTTCCCACTCAGCTGCGTTGATGTGGTACAAGGGCCGCCTCCCATTCTGGGGAAGACCAGGCGGCCCCACTGTTGTAGCTGGAGCACTTCCCACGCCGCTCCGAGAGACTGGAGATGAAGGAGACAGGAAGACACAAGATTCGAAGGACATGATGAATGGGAACTAATAGCAATCCATAGCTTTACACCCAAAGGGAAAACAAGATCTTTGGTGTACGTGGAACATTTACAACAACTGACCACATCCTGTGTCCCAAAAGAAGTAAGAAGTCCTAGCGATCTGTGCTCTGACCACAATGCAGTGATGCTGGGAGTCACAGATAAAAAGGAGAGCTGAAATCATCCCACACACATGAGAACTAAATGCATACAATAAACAACCATTAGGTTCAAGAGGAAATTGTAAAGAAAAACATCCAATACTTCGAACTGATGGACAGCGAGAACACGACACATCAAAGTGTGTGGAACACTGCTGAATTAGTGCTTGAAGGGAAATTGATAGCGTTAAGTACATTTCCGAGAAAACAAAGACTAGAATTAAATGGAATAGGGCTTCAACTCAATAAGAAGGAAAAGGAGCAACAAAGCAAATGTAGGGATATGTGGAAGAAGGAAATAGTAAAGATAAAAGGACAAGTTAGCGATACAGAGACTGACAACCACCACAGAAAATAAAAGGGAAGATTAACAAAAGTAAACGCTCATCCTTAGAGGAATAGAGAGATATTTCCGCCAAGATTGATTTAAAAAAAGAAGATGCATATACAAATATGGAATGATAAAAAGGGAAATAACTATTAATAGCAGTAATGCAGTTTTTGAAAATTAATGACAGTATGATAGTTTAGACAAAGTTGATAAAAATCTAGATAAGCAGGAAAATACCAAATTGAGGCAAGAAAAGTGGAGAACTTCAATAAACTTCGAAGAAATTAAAACAACTTACAAAGATCACTTCTTCAAAAAAGCCCCAGGTCCAGATGGTTTTATAGGTGCATTTTGCCAAATGTTCAAAGGACAGACAGTCCCCATACTAGATGAGTTTTTATAGGATATAATAGAGAAGCTGCTCACCTTGCCGGCAAAACTGATAATGATAGTGCATGGGGGAGAAAGGCCATTTGATACATGACCATGTGAGCATCCTAACTAAGGTAATAGCTACCTGAACCTAACAGTAGTAGACAACAGTGCATTGTGGATGCAGCGTGTTTATTCCAGAATGCAAGTATATTCTTAACATCCAAATCTCCATCACTGTAAGTTTTATGAAAAATTATGTTAATTCATTTGTCAGCTTCTTACTGAATGCCTCTCATGCTAGTTGCTGTTCTAGTAAACTGTGCAAGGGCACTGTGGAGCCCTCTGCCCTGTGGATTAGGCCAGTACCTCATGGACTGACTTGGGGCTGGCCCCAGGCTGAGTTCGGCAGCACAAAACCTAAACATGTAGAGCACATGACCACATGTTTTACAAAGATTCAAGTTCATAAGGAGTGGGGAACAGGAGTTTAGGGATGGGGAGGTGCAGGGAGAAGAGTTGTATTCTCTAAAAATTTTTATTTTCAATGTTTACTTATTTTTGAGAGAGAGAGAGTGGAGAAGAGGCAGAGAGAGAGGGAGACAGAGAACGCAGGCTCCAGGCTCTGAGCTGTCAGCACAGTGAGAAGAGTTGAATTCATGGAAATAGAATTGCTGCGTCAGAGGATATTTAAGTTTATAAGGCATTTAATCCATGTTGCCCTGTGAGCCATGAGAAAGGCGGTGCTTTAGCTCTGTCATTTCCAAGCTGTTAAAATGTTTCGCATAGTGAAATAAATCAGAAATTGTTATGCAGAGAGGCTCAGGAACTTCTCTTTGTCCCGTTTTTGTGTTTGAGATGTCAAAAAGCCATGAAAAACTGTGAAAATACTTAGTATGATGTCTGTGTGATCTCTTATTTTAATAGATATCAATTGAAATTGAAACTCCTACCCAGATATCGTTAGTCGATGAAGCATCAGGCGAGGTAAGTATATATTAAATACAATTTAAAAAAATTATTGAGTGCTAAAATGATTATCTTCTGTGATTTTGAATGTTCATTTAACTATAAGTAAAAATTACAGCAATTGAATGAGTTTGTAGGGGGAAAAATTTGTGATCTTTTTATCTTCTCCATCCAAAGCTTTGGACACGACTTGTGTCTGATTCACTCCTTTCTAGTAGTACCTGCTAATGGTGAAGACTCCAGCTGTTGATATTTCTACGTGATGTCATGGTCACGTTTATTAAGTTGATCATAATATTCAGGATATAAAATGGTGCTTAATGCTTTTGTAGCAAATTTATGTATAGTTTGATTTTTTTTTTTTGACTCATTTTGTTATTTAAGAAAGAGACCCTGTCCAGGTGGATCTAATGTATTTTTTTGTCCTTAAATTTAGAAGCAGGTACTTTTGTGTTGTGAATGTATTGTTTTAATAATAAGCACGACTGCAGATGTACTGTTTATTTGTTTATTGACATGCATGTGGGGGAGGCAGAGAGAGAGAGAGAATCCCAAGCAGGCACCCACTCTGTCACCGAGCCCAACGCGGTGGGCTCAGTCCCACAAACTACAAGATCGTGACCTGAGCTGAAATCAAGAGTCAACGCTTTGGGGCGCCTGGGTGGCTCAGTTGGTTAAGCGTTTGACTCTTGGTTTCAGCTCAGGTCATGGTCTCTAGATTCATGGGTTCAAGCCCTGCATCGGGCTCTGTGCTGAAAATGCGGAGCCTGCTTGGGATTCTCTCTCTGCCTCTCTCTTTCTACCCTGCCCCACTTGCTCTCTGTCTCTCTCTCAAAAAATAAATAAACATTAAAACTATTAAAAAAAAAAGAGTCAGCACTTAACTGACTGGGCCACCCAGACACCACCCTTTTATTTATTTATTTTTTACTTCAAATTATTCCTGGGGCCTGGAGGTATTTTCCTCTTTTGTGACAACTCTAATTAATATTCCATTCCATGGTCTGTGTATAACTGCTTTGTTCACACGGGGAACTCTATAGGGTGTCTATTGTGTGACTACCACCAGGCAGGGGCTGACTTTTCACATTTCCTCTCTGGAGGAGATGGGGCCTGGAAAGTAGTACTCATTGAATTGTTGCCCGAGGGACGACTCTGTGAGACTTAGAAGTCACCAAGATTTGTTTCCTTTCTCGGGCTGAAAGGAGGGAAGAAGGAAAGCCTGAAGGTTCCTAACAACTCGGTTGACTGACACTTTTCCGAGACTCCTCTAATTGCCTCACTGCCTCGCCACTCCTGTGGGTGAGAGGCTTTCTCAAAACGGCACGGGACAGCTCTTGTTGACCAGAGTCTCGCCGTCCCACCCTGGTCTTCTTGTGCGCTGTGGCTTTGCGTATTGTGTCTCCAGCACTCAGCACAGGACCGTGCTTTAAAGGGGCCACCAGAGCGAATGATGGTAGACTTCTGATAGCGAGCTGGTGTGTCCAGAGCTCTGCCAAAATAGGACAGTACACTGGACAGTGGTGACCGGGGGCCAGGCTACATCAGGTGTTTTCTATTTCCTTGTTTTTTTTTTAGTTTAGTAATAGCTTTATTGAGATGTAATATACCATACAATTTATTGAGATATCATATACCATCCGATTCACTGGCTTTTTTTTTTTTTTTAACGTTTATTTATTTTTGAGACAGAGAGAGACAGAGCATGAATGGGGGAGGGTCAGAGAGGAGGGAGACACAGAATCCGAAACAGGCCCCAGGCTCCGAGCTGTCAGCACAGAGCCTGACAGCGGGGCTCGAACCCACGGACCGCGAGATCATGACCTGAGCTGAAGTCAGCCGCTTAACCGACTGAGCCACCCAGGCGCCCCTCACTGGCTTTTTTTAAAAGAAGATAGAAGTTCATTACTTTTTTTTGTTTATTTATTTTGAGAGAGGTAGCAAGTGGGGGAGGGGCAGAGAGGGAGGAAGAGAGAGAATCCCACGCGGGCACCACACTGTCAGCACAGAGCCGGATGCTGGGCTTGATCCCACAAACCATGAGATCATGATCGAAGCCAAAATCAAGAGTCAGACCCCTAACCGACTGAGCCACCCAGGCGCCCCGTCCCTGGCTTTCAGTGTATTCACAGAGCTGTGTATTCATCACCCCAATCAGTTTTAGAAAGGAATCCCTGTCCCCATTAGCAGTCATTTCCCATTTCTCCCTCCCCCAGCCCATGGCAACCCTTACTCTCCGTCTGTTGGATTTGCCTAATCTGAACATTTCATATGAGGGAATCGTACAACATGTGGTCTTGTGGTCTCGTGTGACTCACGCCTTTCACTTTGCATGATGGTTTCAGGGTTGACCCATGTTGTGGTATGTATCAGTATTTCGTCTCTTTTTGTGGTCAGATAAGACTCCACTGTGTGGATAGGCCACATTTGGTTTATTTACTCATCGGTTGATCAATATTCAGGCTCTTACTAGTCTTTGGCCAGTATGGATAGTACTGCTGTGAACATTTGTGCGTGGGTTTTCATGTGGGTGTAAGTTTTCATTTCTCTCGTGTGTGTACTTGAGAGTGGAATTCCTGGGTCATCCAATCACTGTATGTTTAACTGTCACTTTGTGGGCATCGATTCCCCTTGTGTCCAGGATTTGGTGCATGAGGAAATCAGAAAAGGCATACCACGTTCTTGAGAACTACTTGAATATATTCTGTTAAGGAGGGCTTTTTTAGGCTGGGTCCTAACACTAACTTCTGTTATTATTATTTTTTCTTTATTTTCTTTTTTAGAAGGAAGAGATTGTTGTGACTCTCTTACCAGCTGGTCATTGTCCAGGATCAGTTATGTAAGGGGGCTCATCTACTTCACCATTTTATTTTACGTAGATGTGTGTTATATTTATGTAAATGAATCTTTAGGGTCCCGAAAATAGTATGTGCAGGGAGATTTCTTGACTTCTTTAAAATGTAGATGGCAATTTCTTTAGTCTTCGTTTCTAAATTGAACTTGGGGGACTGAAGCAAAGATCGAGTTTGAAATGTGGCTTCTTATAATGGAAGTCTTCAATGGCCATTTCTCCGTTGACTTTGCATTTTCCTATCACATGGATTTTTCTCTCTGTGTGCAGGAAAGATCTCCTGTAGTTGAGAGGGCTAACATATTTCAGGGGATTTCTATTGCCACTGCAGTAGTATTCCAGTATGTGCTCTTTTTCCTACCCCAGGGGAAAGGTGGCCGCTGAGTGCCTGGTGTGGTTTAGAGCTACTGACATCCCATTAACCCTGTATCGGAGGTGGCTGTGTGTGGCAGGAAACATTTGCTATGGATTTAGTGTTTATTTGCTTTATTAGGATTCTGTATGAGACTTAGAAGTCACCAGGATGTATTTCTTTCTCAGGTTTTTATTTCAGGGCAATAACGGAACGGTCTTGTACACGGGAGACTTCCGATTGGCACAGGGGGAAGCTGCCAGAATAGAGCTCCTGCATTCTGGGGGCAGGTACTGGGCTTCACGTAATCCTTGAGTGACCGAACCGTCTGCAAAGTCATATTCCTCCTCCCCCCACCCCCCAAATGCAAGCCTTTGTTTCCATTAGAAATCACAGTTTATTATGTGTCACAGTAAAGCAAGTTTTTCTTCTTCGGGTGGGATGATGGCAACATTCTGTGTGTTGATTGGGGTAGTACTTATGTGAACTTGTCAACATTCATTGAACCTTATGTATAAAATCTGTGTATTTTATTGTGTGGCAATCATTTCCCAACACAGTTGATTTAACAGAAAAATTCCAAGTGGAATGGGACACCCTATAAAATAACTGAGAGTTTAAAGTTTACGTATATTTTATTTCACAGTGGATGGTTAATACGAATTGTTGCTGTTGCTGTTTTTCCAGAGTGAAAGACATCCAAAGTGTATACCTAGATACTACTTTCTGCGATCCGAAATTTTACCAGATTCCTAGTCGAGTAAGTCTCCTTGGAGAAGTAGGGTGGTGACTGGACCGTGGCCATTATTTTTAGTAGGAAGTTTGTAGAATAACAAGTCAGATCATAATTGTCCCTGTTGGCCTTAATATCTGTGACTGTTGGGAATGGAAGGGGTGACGATGCTCTTAAAAGTGTCCAATGCCTTTTAAAATCCCGCCCAGGAGGAGTGTCTGAGCGGAATATTAGAGCTGGTTCGCAGCTGGATCACTCGGAGTCCGTACCATGTCGTGTGGCTGAACTGCAAAGCAGCTTACGGGTATGAGTATCTGTTCACCCATCTGAGCGAGGAATTTGGAATCCAGGTACGGTGACAGCTCTTACTTTTCTGTTGTTCCTTCCAGCCTCTCCTCTCCTCCCCCAGAGACCAAGCCCAGTAGCAGAGGGAAGCAGCCCATCACAGGGCGTGTGTGGCACAAGTTGGAAGCCCCTGTGAAGTAGGATGTCATCTCTGTTTGTCCACCTCCTCAGGGGAGGAGCCCACGGCAGCCCTGGTGGCAGAGAAGAGCCCACAGAGGAAGTATTTTTTTTCAAAACTGTGGGTCACACAATAAATTTCGTGATTGTGACGAGCATTGAAAATAACTTGGGGGAGCACCTGGGTGGCTCAGTCGCTTAAGTGTCCAACTTTGGCTTAGGTCGTGATTGTAGTTCGTGGGTTTGAGCTCCGCATCAGGCTCTGTGCTGACAGCTCAGAGCCTGGAGCCTGCTTCTAATTCTGTCCCCCTCTTTCTCTGCCCCTCCCCCGCTCTCACTCTGTCTCTCTCTCTCAAAAATAAATAAACATTAAAAAAAAAAAAAGAAAGAATCTCGAACTAGAAATTATCTGAGTGTATTGCTTGCAGTCAGAGTGATTATCGTTTTGTGACAGTTTATGTAGGGAATCAGACACATGCATGTCTGTTGTGTGTACTGGGAAATCTATTTCTTACTGAAGGTCATGGTCAAGGTGTGTGAAAACCACTGTCCTAGAGCCCCAAATCCTGTGGGTGGATCCGTGTCAGATGAGGCTGGCGGGGAGTTTTCACCTGTCCCCTTGCCCATGGTTCTGTGTGCCGGGCTCTGGAACTGAGCAACAGAGCCCGGCGTGGGAATGTGGCTGCTAAGCACGTGGCTGGTGCTCTCGTCCCCTCAGAGAAGATGGAGGTTTGGGAAAGACTCTGAATAAAACAAAGTGCTGGAGCTAGTTGGACTTTTTTTTTTTTTTTACTTATTTATTTTTTAAGAGAAGAGAGAGAGAGAGAGCACACACACGCGGGGGGGGGGGGGGCCGAGGGGGACAGAGGATCCCAAGCAGGCTCCACACTGTCAGCTCAGAGCCCAGTGCGGGGCTCGAACTCACAAACCATGAGATCATGACCTGAGCCGGAGTCATTTGCTCAACGGACTGAGCCACCCAGGCGCCCTGGCTAGTTGGACACTGAAGTTCCACTTCGGTTTGGGCCTCGTAACATGGATCCCCCAGCTGACAAACGTGTGCCCAGAACTGAATTATACACAGAGTAATTCAGTAAAATAAAAAAGATCTAGCTTTTCTGCATTTGAGATTTAAAACATTCCTCCCTCACTTCCTCTATAAGTCTTGACTCCCTTAGTCCTTCTTTCCTTAATTTTGTCCTTCCTTAGGTCTTTCTGTCCAAATACATTGGTGTAAAGTTGCCAATTCTCCATTTTGGGAAGGATTTGCTTTCATTCTGAGATTGTCCTTCCTGTTGTTTTGGTGTTAAAGTGTCCTTTCAGATTAATGTTTATTTTTGAGGTGGGGGAGGGGCAGAGAGAGGGAAACACAGAATCCGAAGCAGGCTCCAGATTCCAAGCTGTCAGCACAGAGCCCGACACAGGGCTCAAACTCACAAACCGTGAGATCATGACCTGAGCTGAAGTCTGACCCTTAACTGACTGAGCCACCCAGGCTTCCTGGCTTTTTAAATTAAAATCACAGCGGTAACAGGTTGTGTGTATATGCACGCACTTATCTATATTATCTGCCGTATGTCTCCTCGTGTCCTGTCTCGGCCAAATACAGAGATGGCAGCTGCTTCTCAGTCCCTAATTTGTCTCGTACATTTTTGTGCATGTGAAATAGAGAAGGCAGGAAGCTCCTGGTCAGGAGGCTGAGGAATGGCCAGGGACAGGGGAGAGCAGCCTCTGGTGGTGACCTGGTGACCTCAGAGTCACCTGGAGTGAGCCCTCTCTGAGGCTCTTTAATCCCTCTGTAGGGGAAGGAAACCGTTTCATACCAGGAGTTTAAAAAGGGGCAACAGGGAGGCTTCAGAGATGATCTGTGGCAACTTTTCAGGCCCCTTTATTTTTGTTGAGGATCGAAGTTTCTGTATCTCTGTCTATACATCTCAAAATTTACCCCTTTTAGTCTCCTACTTAGTCCAGAAAAGCAAATTTGTTGTTACTTCTTGTTAGTCATTAGTAAACGGGGAGGGAGCGGAATAGGCCACAGGATAAGTAAGCAATTGTGCTTGGATTCTTTTTATACTTGTCTTGGTATAAATTACCCACAGTGATTTGACATTATCCTAATCTGTTGTTAATCAGACTTCAAAATGACTACTTTTTTTGCCATTTTGTAGTCCTAATATCAACTGAGGTACATGTTACTTACTTTGAAGAAGAGAATTTTTTTAATGTTTGTTTATTTTGAGAGAGTTTGGGGGAAGAAAAGAGGGAGAGAGAGAATCCCAAGCAGGCTCTGCACTTCCGGCATTCAGAACCCGAGGCAGGGCTCGAACTCGTAAACTGAGATTATGACCTGAGCCGAAATCCAGAGTCGGCTTAACTGACTGAGCCACCCAGGCCCATGTGTAGAAGAGAGTCTTTCACGAAAAACAGACACACTGGTTTAACAATTTAAAACAATAAAGACTACCTTAAAATTCTACAGGTGGCTCAAGTTTTTTTTGTTTTTCTGCATCTGCCCCTCCCCCTGTTAATCCAGTAAAGGGGCGTGTGGTAAGGGGCTTCTGGGTCTCTGCTTCCCACTCCAGCTGTGTTCCCCCCACCAACTGCCCTTACTTACCATGGCATGCGGGGGATGTGTCTTCACAAGTCAGTGATTCTTGTTTTCATCTGCTGTGTTCAGCTATATACCTGATATTTAGAATTAAGCTTGACACACAGTAGGCGTACAATAAATATTATTTGAATGACTCTTGATGGATTGAAGGACAGTAGAGTTGACCTTGAACAACACAAGTTTGCACTGCACAGGTCCATTGATGCGTGGGTTTTCTTTGGTAAATACAGTATTGTATCCCAGACAGTAATGTATGGTGACAGATGGTAACTACACTTGTAGTGAACATAGTATAATGTATAGACTCACAGAGTTGTCTAAGCACTTACATTGTACGCCAGAAACTAATGTAACGTTGTGTGTCAACTATACTTCGATAGAAAAATACAGTGCGGTACTCTAAGTGTATTTTCTCTTTCTTACAATTTTCTGAATAACGTTTTCTTTTCTCTAGCTTGCTTTATTGTAAGAGTATGGTATGTGATACATATACGAAATATGTACTAATGGACAGTTTATGTTACTGGTAAGGCTTCTGCTCAACATCAGCTGTTAGTAGTTAAGTTTTTGGGGAGTAGAAAGTTATGTGGATTTTTGACTGTCGGGGTCAAAAATGGCGCCCCGACCCGTGTTGTTCGGGGTCAGTTGCATCAGCGTGATTCAATGAAGTCCACCAATTGGGCGTCCAGAATTTTTTATTACCACCACCAATAGGCGCTAAGGCTGACTGGTGCAAATATGATGTTTGTACTTTGTTGACGTCCTGACAGGATGCCAGGGTGCACTGAAATAACCAAAAACTAGGTTTCAAGAAAGAAGAGAGAGTTCACTAAGTGGATAATTTGCCGTAATTAGCCTTGAACAACCTCTTTATAGAAACTACAACTCAAACAACATGTTCATCTGTGTTATTTTCCTCAGGTTCATGTGGACAAATTAGACATGTTTAGGAACATGCCCGACATTCTTCATCACCTCACAACAGACCGGAATACTCAGATCCATGCCTGTCGCCATCCGAAGGTACAGAGTATAAACTGTGTTTCTTATTGTTGGTGTGATGCATGAAAAGCAGAATTTTAGGTCCAGAAGGCACCCCTGAAATCCCATTTCCTAGGCCCTTCAGTTTACACATGTGAAAACTGAGGCAGAGACCCGACGGCGTTAGCCTGAGGCCATGCACTGAGACATTCCAGTGCTCCTTGCCGTGAACCACGTTAGCAAATAGACACAGACCCCCAGGGTTCTTTTTTTTTTTTTTTTTTATTATTTTGATTTTTTTTGTGAGAGAGAGAGAGAGAGAGAGAGAGAGACAGACAGACAGACAGACAGACAGAGTGGGAGCAGGAGAGGGGCAGACAGAGAGGGAGACACAGAATCTGAAGCAGGATCCAGGCTCCGAGCTGACAGCACAGCGCCTGACACGGGGCTCAAACTCACAGACCACGAGATCATGACCTGAGCTGAAGTCGGACGCTTAACCAACTAAGCCACCTGGGCGCCCCCAGACCCCCAGGGTTCTTAATGAAATATATCCATATACATTTGATACATATTTATTTGTAATGAGTTATGTAGTGACTAATGTATTTATCATGAAATTAATATGTTAGTGCTTATGATTTAAGAAAACATTTATAATCCATTACGATATATGTTTGAGACTCATGACCTATGTGCACATTTGTAAACTACTTTTCTTCTACTCATTTGAGATAAATAGCTAGATATAACTTTGCTTCAGATTTTGAAATAGTTTTATCTCTTACTAGTCCAATTTCAAATGAGCATTTCTAGGTCTTTGCAACTCATTTGTTATTTATTTTTGTTATTTTAAAAATTTTTTTATTTTTTAAAATTTACATCCAAATTAGCATATAGTGCAACAATGATTTCAGGAGTAGATTCCTTAGTGCTCCTTAACCATTTAGCCCATCCCCCCTCCCACAATCCCTCCCGTAACCCTCAGTTTGTTCTCCATATTTATGAGTCTCTTCTGTTTTGTCCCCCTCCATGTTTTTATATTATTTTTCTTTCCTTTCCCTTATGTTCATCTGTTTTGTCTCATAAAGTCCTCATATGAGTGAAGTCATATGATTTTTATCTGTCTCTGACTAATTTCACTTAGCATAATACCCTCCAGTTCCACGTAGTTGCAAATGGCAAGATTTCATTCTTTTTGATTGCCGAGTAATACTCCATTGTGTGTGTGTGTGTGTGTGTGTGTGTGTATACACACACACATATATATATATACACTATATCTTCTTTATCCATTCTCTCTCTCTCTCTCTCTCTCTCTATATATATATATATACACACACTACATCTTCTTTATCCATTCATCCCTAGATGGACATTTGGGCTGTTTCCATACTTTGGCTATTGTCGATAGTGCTGCTATAAACAAGGGGGTGCATATGTCCCTGTGAAACAGCACACCTGTATCCATGGATAAATGCCTAGTAGTGCAATTGCTGGGTCGTAGGGTAGTTCTATTTTTAGTTTTTTGAGGAACCTCCAAACTGTTTTCCAGAGTGGCTGCACCAGCATGCATTCCCATTTTTGTTATTTATTTTTGAATGCCGCCCTAGAACTCCCTTCATTTATTAAAAGCCCTTCTGTTATTCAACGTCAGGTATTAAATTTTGGATTTGCCCTCAACATTTTGTTTCATTTCATTTTATATAGTCATTCAGCATCGCAAATATTAAATCATGATCTTCAGAAGCTGGGGTTTGCGTCATCATAATTTTCCCCTAAGATTTCAAATATCTGAGCAATCAGATGCTGAATAATTTTTATTTTAGTAAACACTGCATTTATATACTTAAATACTCATTGTGGTAGTAACATTGGCTCTGTCACCCGAAAACCTAACGTAAACTTGATCAGCCCTAAAGTAAAGCATAATGTAAAAAAAAAAAAGAATTCTTATCTACAGCATGGAATATTCTACTTCAGACCACTGTAGGATAGCTACAAGGTAAGAGATTATTTTGATAATTGGTAAGCTGCATATTATGACTCGAGTCATCAGTTTCATTCTTTTGTTTGTGTGTCTACACACACACACACACACACACACTCATTGAATTTACGGATGGATCAAAGTCATGTACATACGAATAGCAACTATTTTGTCCCCCTTTTTTTTTTTTTAAAGTTTATTTATTTATTTTTTGAGAGTGCACAGGGGAGCGAGATTGAGAGGAGAGACTCCACATTGTCAGAGCAGAGCCCGATGCGGGGCTCAGACTCACGAACCATGAGATCATGACTTGAGCTGAAATCAGCAATCAGGCACTTGACTGACTGAGCCACCCAGATGCCCCTTATTTGTCCCTTTTCTGTTGGACTTGTAGCCTCTGGTCCTTACAAGCCCTGTAAATTGGCATATTTCTCTTTGCTCTGAGTTTTCTTGCATCCCATGAAGTAGCTAAATTGGCAACGGTCACTCCTGCCACTTCCCGCATGGCTACCTGCCTTGAAACACTCCTTCTAGCGGCTTCGTTCTTAGGTCACGCGGCCTCGGGAGTACTGCTCACGGCTCAGGAGTACTGCTCATGGCTCGCAGAGCCCTGGTGCACCCCTGCAGCCCTCCTCCTCCTCAGCACACGCACCAAAGGCCCTTGATGACATTGGGTCTGCACTGAGTGCTAATGGTTTTGCAGGACCCCTGTCTAAACGTGATGTCTTTGGGAAAATAGTCCCATTGTCTTTCAGCTTTTTTTTTTTTTTTTTTTTTGCTTTATTCTCTAACTGTATTTTGAAAAAATTGGATGATCGGTAGCCTGTATTCACAGTTCCCCCAGTTGTATAGTAGTGTCCTGTTTTTAGTGTATGGAGGGGGAGCCGGGCACCCCTGGTGAAGGTCACAATGTGCGTTGTGGTTACTGTGGCCTCATTAGTCTCAAGTGTAGATCAAATCTCCCACATTTTGTTTTTCTTTCAGGACATTGACATTTTTGAAGAGTCCAGGCCAGTTCCGCAGAATGTTTCTAAATTTGGAATTATCTGATTATCTCCTCATGTGTGCTTTTTCATTTCATGTCTGTAAACTTATCACAGCATTTGTTTTTGAGACCCTGCCCACAAACAGATTTGTTGAAAACGTGGAACTGTTTTTCGGTTTTTGAAATCTTTTTAGGCAGAAGAATATTTTCATTGGAATAAATTACCCTGTGGAAATATTTCCAAAAATACAATTCCACTCCACACAATCAGCATTAAGCCATCCACTATGTGGTTTGGAGAAAGGACCAGAAAAACAAATGTAATTGTGAGGTAAGAAAGCAGCAATGTCATAGGTCTTTTGAGAGAAACCTTGCTTTTGAGGCAAATTATGTGCTTTATTTTAGTTTAAATGCAAAACTAGCCTAACCCAAAGAGGGGGATGTATTATAATTGTGGGAAAGGACTTCTGAAATTTAAACGCTAAAGAGGTTCTGCTTCCAAAACCTGTCTCCTGTCTAAATTTCCTGAGGTCTGCTCCAGTGGGTGGCTCGAGAGTGAAGGCGTCTTGTTTGGCCTCACTTGGGAGTGAGTTGACCTTGTGGGGAACCAGAAGCCCTTGGTGGAGCTGAGGGGCATAATGATCAGCATATTGTAGCAACACTTCCTTAATACCGGGTATTCACAATGTCCACAAATCTTTATGTTTCTGGAAAGAGGTCGCTCTTGTCCCAGGGAGAAACCCTTGATTATAGGGTGATTTCATACCGGAATAGCGGAAGATGGGAAGGCATGAAATTTAAAACGTAGCTTAGTTTTGATAAAAGACCTCTAAAATTTTGTGTTTTCCTTTCCTTTTAGGACTGGAGAGAGTTCATACAGAGCTTGTTTTTCTTTTCACTCTTCCTACAGTGAGGTAAGAGGATCCCACATCCTCAGAACCCCATTGCCAACTACTTCGGTGGCATTCATGTTGGATGGCAGCAGTCTAACCCCTTGGCTGCCAGAGGGATCTCTTTTTCTGTTGCTTAAGATTTGTTGTGGCTTTTCTGAAGGAAATTTAGGGAAGATATCTCAGTAGATGAGCTGTGTTTACCAAGCACAAAGGAAATTGCTATTAGCACCTGTTTTCAGCCTAAACACAGAAGAATTCGTATGATTAAGGTTTTCTTCCTGTCTTGCTTCCTGCATGTATTTTAACTTCCCCACTTCAATTGTTGTTTTCAGTCGTCATGAGAGGATCATAAATCCTTTTTAATTTTAAAATTTTATTGTTATCTTTTTAAGAGGATCTATAAAGCTTATCCGAAGGAGCACTATAGATAAAACCATTATGGGTGGCCTTAAGGTGCTGTCCAGAGTTTTGGTCTCTTCTAAAATTTGCGCTGGAAAGCTATTTAAAAAATAGTCCTGAACATTCATCAATTGGGGAAGAATCAAAGTGACTGAGATAAAAACCTCGTCCTTAAGAAGGATGTATACTGTATTAGAATGACTCAGTTGAAGAAGGCCTATTAAATGGTTTTGTTAGGATCCTCTTTATATAGGAAATTGACCTACTACAGTGGAAGTTGATACGTGTGATTTATTTGCAAACTCCTCACGCACTTCCAAAGTAAATGCTAGCATCTTCTAAGTGCTGAGTTTTAGTGATTCTGTGTATGTGCCAGGAAAAAAAAGGTATATAAAAGCAGACTTTGAATGACACTTTAAGTCCCACATAATTTTAGTTTGACCATTGCAGCACTTAAAAATTGATTTCCCTGGGGGCTCCTCGGTGGCTCAGTTGGTTAAGCTCCGACTTTGGCTCGAGTCATGATTTCACGGTTTGTGGGTTCGAGCCCTGCGTCAGGCTCTGTGCTGACAGCTCAGAGCCTGGAGCCTGCTTCGGATTCTGTGTCTCCTTCTCTCTCTGCCCCTCCCCAACTTGTGCTCTGTCTCTCTCTGTCTCTCAAAAAATAAATAAATGTAAAAAAGAAATTAAAAAAAAAATTGATTTCCCTGGTAACTATTATTTTTGTATTTGGGATATGTGGTTACAGCACTGCAGCAGTGAGCCGTGGATGTGTTAATGATTTGAACAGGTGGATTCTTCCAGAGCTCCAGGTAGTGGCATTCTTATCAAGTCAGCCATAGTACTGTAAATGACTAGCATATTATCAAAACATCACAGGGGCGTCTATGAAATATCTGACCTTACCTTTCAGGTGCAAATAGGTTATCCAAGAGCAGCTTGGAAGGAATTCACTGTGATGATAGATTTTAGTTAATGTGTTCTTCCCCCATTTTATCCTGAAATCTCATGTTGTTGTCAGAGTCCCCTCCTGGGGATCTGTCTTTGGTTGGCATCGGGCTCAGCATCGGGGTCCCTTCCTGTCCATCCTTCAATGGCTGGTATCCTTGCTGTCTCAGCCACGGGGCAGGTGTCTCGTTGGTGAAGAGCGTAGGCCTTACTTCTCACTCAGGGCTACATCTGGCCCCTTTCACTCCTTTGGTGTAGTTAGCACCCAAGTTGGGAAGCATAAGCTTTCCTGGGATTTGATGCAATTACGTTCCAATAAGGAGATATTTCCCTGGTGTGTAAGCAGACACGAAGTGGCTGAACGCCCTTGCCCCTCCCCACTCCCCCTGGGTCAGCACCAGTGATCACACACAGCGGAGGGTCGCTTTGAGCTCTGCGGTGGGGAGACCTGCTTTCCCGAAAACTCTATTCATAAGCCTATATCCTAAGTATAGAATCATGCTGAATTAGATTTATAAACATAAATAGATTTAAGGATCATTTCCTGTCAGTTTTGTTGTCTAAATACAGCTGATTCTCCTTATTTGTGGATTATTTCCAGGTTCACCTGTTCACTAAAATTTGTGACCCCAAAATAATAGTCACAGCACTGCATGGCTGTTTGCAGACATGCCTAGCAGAATGTTGGGAAAGGGGTTAACGACATACATATTCCCAATTTCGGAATTGGGTGGTACTTACCCTCTCCGCTCAGCTCAGGGCTAACAGGTGTCCTTTTGCAGTCGGTTTAGCGCTGTGTTGAACACACTTCTGTGCTTTCTGCTGGGGACTTCCTGTTTAGAACCCCCTAAGTGCGAGGCTGGGGTGCTGTGTAGCGTTCCTAAGCATGCACAGAGGCAAGGGTGGGCCTTATGGAGAAAATACATGTGTTTGATAAGCTTTTACAGACAGGAGTTATGGTGCTGTTGGGTATGAGTTCAATAGTAATGAATCAACAGTACGAATTAAGTAGGTGTCTTTAAACAGAAACCCACAGAAAACAAGGTGATGCATTGATGGGCTCACAGAGACACTGTGACCAGAGGTCCACTGGAACCTTTTCTTTTCCTCAGGAGTGTGGTTCAGTGTTTGCTAATTCTAATGTTTTTTAAGTTTATTTATTTTGAGAGAGAAAGGGGGGAGGGAGAGAGAGGGAGAGAGGCAGAGAGGCAGGGTGAGAATCCCAAGCAGGCTCTGCACTGTCAGCACAGAGCCCAATGTGGGGCTCAAACCCATGAACTGGGAGATCGTGACCTGAGTGGAAGTTGGATGCTTAACCAATTGAGCCACCCAGGTGCCCCTAGTGTTTGCTAATTCTAGACCTCGAGAACATAACCCCTGCAGGTAATGAGAATGGACGGTGTTTGTGAATGGTTTTAAGGCAGGCATCTGATGTGACGACATCAGCTTGTACAGGTGACAAACGGTGGCTCTCTAGTGGGTGTCTCTTGTCTCCTGTGTCTACTTCATTTCTAAGTAGAAGTGAATCATTTCTGGTATAGGTTGACATTACTTTCTTTATCCCTGTTGCCTTGACAAGCCTCAGATTTCTGCTAGCCTCAGCTTTGAATTAATTATACAAATCGTAAAAGTTGTGGGCCGGTAAATAATAGTTTCTGTTTGCATGCCTGCTCTGAAAGTGCAGGAGAATTTGCTTATGAAATCTATCTGAAGAATGAATGGGTCTTGTTTTCCTCTCCTGTTTTCAGTAAGGTAGCCACTTTATTTTAATACGGAGTTATTGATAATTCCTAGATTCCTACCTCTTTTGATTTGGTTCTGTATTTGAAAAAGTTGTTCTGGGGTGCCTGAGTGGCTCAGTCAGCTAAGTGTCTGACTTCAGCTTAGGTCACGATCTCACGGTTATGGGTATGTGCTGACAGCTCAGAGCCTGGAGCCTGCTTTGGATTCTGTGTCTCCCTCTCTCTCTGCCCCGTCCCAGCTCTCTCTTTCTCTCTCTCTCTCAAAAATAAACATTAAAATTTTTTAAATAAAAAAAAAAGTTGGGTTCTAATGATTACTTAGAACTCAGCCTCCCCATTTGCAGAAGGGAATAAAAAACCTTTGTGTTGTCATTATAATTTTTTTAATGGATAATTTTTTTTAATGTGCTTTCAGAGTTTTTTTTTTTTTTTTTTTAAATGTTCATATGTTTTTGAGAGAGAGACAGAGACAGAGCACAAGCTGGGGAGGGGCAGAGGCAGAAAGAGACACAGAATAGGAAGCAGGCTCCAGGCTCTGAGCTGTCAGCACAGAGCCTGACGCGGGGCTCATACCCACAGACTGCGAGATCACGACCTGAGCTGAAGTCGGACACTCAACTGACTGACCCACCCAAGGGCCCCTGTAATGGATAATTTCATTGAATGTTAAATATATGCCAGCTTGGTAACAGGCCAAGCACTTGACATGCGTTATCTCATTTATACTTCTAGATGAAGACCCTAACACTTAGAGACTTTCGGTAACTTAACCAAGATCACAAGGTCACCAAGATCTAATAAATGACAAAGCTGAAACTTGTCTGGGTTACAGAGTTGTTTTGAGGAATAGCGGCAGAGTTTCTCTGTCAAGCATTCTGAGCTTTGCAGAAAATCAAGTTATTCATGAAATTTCTGCATGTAGTTGTCCTCTAGAGAAAAACATTACAACAAATCAAGCATCCTGGAAGATGTAATTTTCTTATTTTATTTGTTGGAGAAAAGAAATGTAATTCGAAGAGCTTGCTTTTTTGTGTGTACTAAATACTCCACTTAATTCTAATTTACTTGAAGGGAATTTGTTAATTATGGGTGACTTTCTTAGACAAGGAAACTAATGCATTTTAAAGAAATAGAGAATCTTTGAGTTCCATTAGTCAGTGATTCTTAGTCCTTTCTGTGGAACAGAATCACCTGAAGAACATTTCAATATCCTGAATCCCAGCCCCCACTGTAGCGGAGTATCAAAAGGACTTTTGGGCATGGGGTCTCAGAGTTGGAGATTTCTTTCTCCTCTAATAGAGGCCCCCAGGTGATCCCCATGTGCAGCTAGTAGTGAGAACCACACCATGAGAAAGTTCTGCTCTTTCTCCTGGCCACCCTTTTGTTTCTGTCCATAATACCCACATTTTTCACCGCAGAGATAATCGATCCATTTTATTTTCCTTCTTCTAGGTTAAAGATTTCTTGAGCTACATCTGTCCTGTGAATGTGTATCCCAATGTCATTCCAATAGGCACAACTATGGATAAAGTTGTAGAAATGTGAGTAATTGCTACTTGTGGAATTTGTGTCGTTGAACACGATGGATGCAGAGGATAGTTTCGGGTCTGAGAACAGGGGCCAGGACATAAGATGGCTGTAAATACGTGTCTGGTTGGGAGCATGATGGCTTTCTTCCAGTGGGTATGTTATAGATAATCCTAAAGGCTGCTGGGAGTCTGGCATAAGGGCACAGTTGGCATTGAGGCCCTCAAGAGAAAGGGCAGGCTGTATTTACACACTCTTGTATTTTATCATCACTGTGCCTTAGCTTCCAAACTCTAGAGTGAAGAGATCAAATTTGAGATTTTGTAAGAGATAAGTCAACCCCATTAAACAGGTGAGAGTAATCAGCTAGCCATACTGTATTCCCTGAATGCCAGGTGTCACTGTAGTACTTAATAGTCTTGCAGAATAGGGAACTGCTTTTCTGTAAAGCAAGAGCAAATACATGGGTTTTGCTTTCCCTTAATCCTACAATTAGATAGCTATGTACCAGGTTGTATTTAAGTGCTCATATTTACCACTTAATTATAGTGAAGTGGTTTTTTAATTATTAAACATGGCTCTTTGGTTTTTAAAAGTAGTTATATGATTTTTCCCATGGCCAAGTTTTTATAATCTCTATAAAGTATGCTTACATTCCAGTAGCTTTCCCAACAGGAAAAATATAATGTTCATATTCGTTTCAGCTTAAAGCCTTTATGCCGATCTTCCCAAAGTACTGAGCCAAAGTATAAACCACTTGGAAAATTGAAGAGAGCTAGAAAAACTCACCTAGACTCAGGTAAGAAAATGACCCTGGATTCAGAGGTGTGGGTTTCAAGGCTACTCTGGCCTGGTGAAAGCTGCATTGGGCAGGGGTGGGCCGGGGACTGCTGTCACTCAGACTTGTTCCCATGGTCTCAGGAAGTGCTTTGTCTTTCTCCAGCCTGTGAAATCAGCAGTCCAATCTCCTTCACAGGTTTAAAACGGGTGACAGAGAGAACTGTGCCTGTACTGAATGGTGTTCTCAGCTTGCTGAAAGTAGGCCTTGTGGTTTGTATAGGCCATAAGGACAGGCTGGGCTGTTAATCTTGGAGATTTCCTTCAAGATACTAGTAAATGCTGACAGCGGAAACTTTTGCCATTTCCAACCAGATTGACCAGCAGAGCTTATACGAACAGATTTTCTGTACTTTGTCACCTTCTTCCATTGCTACTTTCATTTTCCAGGGAAGAGCAGAGGTAACCTCTGAGGAATTTAGAACTTGAGATTCCAAATAAAGATCTGCTGCTTTACAGCAGCCAGATTTTGTGGTTAGGATTCTGAATTTGCATTGCTTTGGCGGAAAGTCACTTACTGTACCATGTAGCTAATACATGACCAAACAGATTAGGTAACAGGATTGTATTTATTAAACAACTACTGTCTATGGCAGGTATTGTGCTAGGTCCTTTACATACACTACAGCTAAACTTCAGCCCACCCGAGGGGTATCATCCCACTTTTTACTAACAAGGAAACTAAAGTTTAGAGGTGAAGGAAGTACCCGCAAGGCCTAGCCAGAAGTAAGTGATGGGGCTGGGATTCGAATCCAGTCCTGTGTTTCCCATCTCCATTTCAGCATTTCCTCTCATTTAGAATCAAATCAAAAACATTTAGATGCAAATTCCAGTACTGATTCTAGAAAACCAGTTGTATTTTTAGATGTTGTATCTATCATGTATGGCATCGTATAATCCTTCTCATATGTAAACTTAATTGTAGGGTTTTTTTAAAGCTTTACCAAAGTATAATTGATATACTATAAATTGCATGTTTAAGGTGTCCAATTTGATACTTTTACATATGCATATATGAGAAGCCATCACCATAATTAAGATCAGGAAAATAGCCATTACCCCCAGGTTTCCTTATGGCACTTGGTAATTCCTCCCAGCTGTCCCCCACCCCCTGCTGTCCTCTTCCATGCCAAGGCAACCACCGATCTGCTATCTATCACTGTACATTAGTTAGCATTTTCTAGAATTTTATACTAAATAGAATCATACAATATGTCTGGCTCATTTCACTTAGCACATTTTGAAATTTATTGGTATTGTTGGATGTATCAGTAGTTTCTTTTTTACTGATGGGTAGTATTCCACTGTGTGGATATACCAGTTTGCTGATCCATTCACCTCTTGTACATTCGGGTTGTTCGCAGTTTTTGGTCATTACAAATAAAACTATGAACATTCAAGTACAAATCTTTGTATGGATGTATGCTTTCATACCTAGGAGTGGGTCATACGGTAGTTCTATCCTTAAGAAACTGCCAAATTGTTTTCCATAGTGGTTGGACCATTTTCCATTCTTGCCAGTTCTCTTGTTCTACTTTGTTGCCAGTATTTGGTGTGGGTAGACTTTCTAATTTTAGATATCCTAATGTGTGTGCAGTGATATCTCATGGTTTTAATTTGTATTTTTCTAATGTCTAGTGAGGTTGAACATCTTTAATGTTCTTATCTGCCATCCGTGTACTTTCACTGGTGAAGCATCTGTTTAAATCTTTATCCATTTTTTTTTTAATTTGTTGCTTTTTTATGGTTGGGTTTTGAGAGTTTCTGGATGTAAATGCTTTATCAGACTCTTAGCAGAGTCTTTTGAAGAGCAGAAATTTTAAATGGTGTTCAATTTACTAATGTTTACCTTTTTTTTTGTATTGTAGCTAACTAAGAACTCTTTGCCTGACTCATGGTCACAAAGATGATTTTCTCCTCTATTATCTGGTAGAGGTTTTTGTAGTTTTAGGTTTTACATTTAGGTCTGTGGTCCATTTTCTAGTTATTTTTATGTATACGGTGCTAACTACATATTCAAGGTTTTTTGGTATTTGTTTTTTTCCTACAGACATTCCAGACATCCTAGAACCACTTGTTGAAAAGACTTATGTCTTTGCCCTTTTCTTGAAAGTCAATTGACAATATATTTTTAATTTTTTTAAATGTTTTTATTTTTGAAAGAGAGAAAGAGAGACAGTGTGAGTGGGGGAGGGGCAGAGAGAGAGGGAGACACAGAATCCCAAGCAGGCTCCAGCCTCTGAGCTGTCAGCACAAAGCCTGACGCTGGGCTCAAACTCACTGACCGTGAGATCATGACTTGAGCTGAAGTCGGACACTCAACTGACTGATCCACCCAGGTGCCCCAATTGACAATATATTGAGGGTTTACTTCTGGACTTTTTGTTTCGTTCCATGATTTCTATCTTGACATCAGTACTGCCCTGTCTTGATTATTGTACCTTTATAAATTCTGAAGTTAACTGATACAAGTGGTTGAACTATTTTGTTAGTTTTCAAAGTTGTTTTGGCTATTCCATGTCCTTCACATTTCCATATGAATTTTAGAGTCCGCTTGCTATTTGTATAAAAATGTCCACTAGACAGAGTTTGGGATTGTATTAAATTTGGGAAGAACTGACAGCAACATTGAGTCTTCAGATCCATGAAGATGGTATCTCTCTCCATTTATGTAAGTCTTTGATTTTGCTCAGCATTATTTTCTGGTTTTCAGTGTATAGGTCTTATATGTCTTTTGTTAGATTAGTCCCCAGATATTTCATTGTTTGGATACTATTGTACATTATATTCCTTTTCACATTTCAATTTGTTACTGGTATATAGAAATACAATTGATATTTGTATTTTAATCTTGTATCTTCCAACCTTGCTAACCTCACTTACTAGTTCTAGTGATTTTTGGGGTAGATTCTACTTCATTTCTACATAGATTATCATAGTGTGTCTGAATATAGATAATTTTACAGTCTGGATGCTTTTATTTCTTATTCTGATCGAACTAGCTAGACTTCAACTATAATATTTAATAGAAGTGGCAAAGGTTGATGTCACTGCCTAGTTCCCAATCTTGTGGGGACTGGGGGAGAGGGAAGCATTCATTTTTTCACCCTTAAGTATGATGTTGTGAACTTTTCATTGATGTTTCTTATCACATGGAGGAAGTCCATTCTATCAGTAGTATTCAGAGACTTTTTTTAATCAGGAACGGATATGGGATTTTGTCAAATATTTTTCCTGCATTTATTGAGATGATCATACAGTTTTTCTATTTTAGTCTGTTAATATGGTGAATTACAATGATTGATTTGTAAGTATTAAACCAACCTAGCATTTCTGGAGCAAACCCCATTTGGTTGTGATGTATTATCCTTTTTAGCTATTGCTCAACTTGATTTCCTAAACTTGTGTTAAGAATTTTTTTCTTCTGTGTTCAGGAGTGATATTGGTCTAAAGCTGTTTTGTCTTTTTCATGCAATATCTTTTGTGGTTTTGGTATCTTTTGGTATCTGGATACTGTTGGCCTTCTTGTTGTGAACTGTTTCTTCATACTTTATTTTCTGCAACAGTTTATAAAGAATTAGCAGTATATCTTTCTTAAATGATAGGTAGAATTTACCAATGAAGCCATCTGGGCCAGGAGTTTTCTCTGCAGGAAGGTTTTTAACTACAAATTCAATTTGTTTAAGAAGTCGAGGGCTATTCAGGTTATTTTTTCTTGAGTAAGCTTTGGTAATTTATATCTTTCAAGGAATTTGTCCATGTCACCTAAGTTGAATTTTTTGGCACAAACTTGTTCACAATACTCCCTTGTTATCCTTTTAATATCTGTAGAATCTGATGATACCAACTGTCTCACTCCTGACATTATTTGTATCTTAGTTTTTCTTGATCAGTCAGAGGTTTGCCAGTTTTACTGAGCTCAAAAACCCAGCTTTTTGTTTCATTGATTTTTTCTTTGTTGTGTTGTTTTCAATTTCACTGATTTCCACTCTGATCTTTGTTTCTTTCATCTACTTGCTTTTGGTTTATTTTGCTCTTTATTTCTAAATTTCTTAATGTGGAAGCTGAGGTTATTGCTTTGAGACTTTTTTTGTCCCTTAACACAGGCACTTAGTGCTATAAGTTTCTCTCTTTAGTTGTTATCTCACAGATTTGACTTGTGTTTTCATTCCATTCAAAATATTTTGATTTTTCTTTTGATTTCTTCTTTGCATGGATTATTTAGAATAAATGGGTTACTGAGTTTCTGAATTTTGGAGGATTTTCCTGAGATAATTTTGTTGTCCGATTTAATTTTGGGGTTAGAGAAAATGCTGTTATGATTTTTACTGAGATTTGTGGTCTGGAATAATGGTCTGTCTTGGTAAATGTTTCACTGTACTTGAAAGAACTATATATACTGCCGTTGGGTGGAGTGGTGTACAAATATCGGTTAGGTCAAGTTAGCTGATAATGTTCAAATCTTCCATATCCTTGCTGATTTCCCTGGTCTACTTTGCCCTGCAAATTATTGAGGGAAAGTTGTTGAAATCTCCCGTTACAGTTGTGGGTTTGTTATTCCTTGTAATTCGATCACTTTTCGCTTCATCAGTTTGAAGCACTGCTATCAGGGACACACATGTTTAAGATTGTTAAGTCCTCTTATATTTAGGAAATGACTCTTAATCCTGGTAATATTCCTACCTTTGAAATATACTTCACCAGATGTTAATATAGCTACTAAACTTTCTTCTGATTAGTTAGTATATGTTTTTCCATCTCTGTATTTTTAATTTGTCTTCATATTTAAAGATGGGTTTCTTATAGGCAGCATTTTGGGTCTTGTTTTCTATAGCCAATCGGGTAACTTCTGTCTTTTTATTGGAGTGTTCGGTCGGACCATTTATGCTTAATGAGATTACTAATATGGTCAGCTTTAAATATACCACCTTGCTGTTCCCTCTACATTTCTTCTTTCTTTCT